GAGGATTTGTATCATCTGGCTCTGACTCCATGTTGGTCTGAGTAGCATCAGTTGGTAAGAGGTCCTCAGCTCTGTGGACGTGGTGTTCATCCTGGCTGTGGTCCTCCTCCGTTTGAGCAGTGTTACTGTGCGTTCCTTCCTTTGCTTCTCGGGTTTACATTTAGTTCTTGCCTGGTGTATCTTCACCCCCTCAGGTTCTTGCAGACTCCTACAATGACATCTGGTTTCTGCCGGTACTTTACTATAAAGTACTCATTGATCTCTAGTTAGTTTTTATACTACTACGTAGTATAACACGACTTTTGTCTACATGACGTCTTCATTAAAACTAAAGCTCTTCTGTGGCGCTGTTTTAAAATATTTAGAAGATTAGTAGGTTTCGTTAAGAACATTTGAGCCTTTTTGAAAATCTAATCTTACTTTTATTTTTTCAAAACAGCCATGGTGGCTCAGTGAGTAAGACGCTGCCTCGCTAACAAGAAGGTTCGCTACGGGTATTGCCCGAAACAGTTCCTCGTGGTTTCGTCATATCCCTGGTGCAGACTGGGGGACCTGGCAAGATACAATGTTCAATCGTTCAGTCCCGTGTACACATTGCTGTGCAACAAAAGGGTCATAATGCATAATGATGGTTGAGTTTGAATTTCGTAAAAATCGGATCGAAACTGCCCGACAGAATGGCCGCTCGCTCCTTGTACGCAAATAGTGTAAAAATATGTAATTCTAAGGTTGTGGAACCTCTAGATGCCAAATTTTTTGTCTGATTTTGATGAAACTTAAAATATGTTTATATCCCGAAGATCTAAGTTCCTGTAGATTCACGCATATCGGACCGTAACTTCCTGGAGTATGCCCCCTGATTGTACCACAAAAAAATCGTTTCTTTTTTTTTGAGCAACTGCTCAACTTTGAAATCGGGTAAAATGTTGATGGTAAACGATTAACTAAGCCATTTGGTGCTTATTCTGAAAGTTTTATAACAATGGGTCTGTAAACATTGGTTATGTGCAATTTGTTTTAAAAAAAACAGGAAATATTTTGCTCGCTAAAATGTTTTTGCTATATAAGATACGGACTTTCTGACAGATTTTAATAATCCTTTTTTTTTTCATTAAGATTCTTGAAAACAAAAACAGGACATCAAAACATATTACTCTACTAGATGTTGAAATTAATGTATAAGTGTATGATTGGTTTGTTAAGAACAGGTCTAGTTTGTATTTATGTTTCTTGTTACTTCATTCACCCATTTTCTTAAAATACTATAACTTGTTGAAATTTAACCACAACTTTCAACTTTGATCGTTCTTTGCTTTCCGTTGGTTCAGGCCTATAAATACATTTATTTTGTATTTGTTCTATATTTTTTAGGCATATAAATACATTAATGGTTGGATACTAAGAGCACATCCCCGGCGTTTGCTGAGAACTTTGAAAATGTGCAGGTCCACGACTCGTCAATGAGCTGTGGTGCTACAATTTATATGGCACCGGCTCGCTAACCAGGAGGTCTTGGGTTCGCCCCGGTGTTACGAAATTCCTCGATTTATCGGGCGTGGTTGGCCTTTGTAATCGGCGCCTGTCCCCGTCTAATGAGTACTGATTTGCACATACATGTACAATTAAGGTGGTCATCCAATCAACGCATGTATTGGAAATCTATTACATTTTCTACATCAAATTTGCTGACGTCAGCCAGTCCCAACCAAACGTCATGCCAAAATAATGTGTGTTATCTGTTAATCCCTTGAAACGTTCTTACGCCAGATCTGGTTTCCAAACCATATCACGTTCGATGTTGTTTTCAATTTTAGAACTCCGTCCAACCATTCAACCACTGTCAACATAATGGTCCCGATCAGGTGCTCAATCGCCAAATTGAGCACACTTTGGCGACACCAAACAACGTCATAATAATGGCTGTTAGGTAGAAGTATCAAAATTCTAAATTTGTTCGACGTTCATGCTAAACATGTAAAGCGACAATGAAGTAGACATTTTCCATCCTAATAATATATGTAAGATAAAACAAATTTAAAATTTACACTGAACAAATAAAGAAGTTGGATTATACATTGTCTTAATTTAGAAATTACATGAATAGAAGTTAATGGTACCGACCAGGTGTTCAGTCGCCAAATGAGCACGCAGTAGCAACACCAAACGACTTCATAATGATGGTAGCTAGGCAGAAGTGAACAAATTCTGAATTTGATGTTCATGCTAAAGTGTAAAGCGTCAATGATAAAGACGTTTTTCGTCTAATTCATAGAAATAACGTGAAATATAATTAAAATTTACACTGAACAAATAAAGAAATTGGATTATACATTCCCTCAATGTAAAATTCGCACGAATAAAAGTTAGAAATTATATGAATAGAAGTTACAAATAATACATGAATAGAAGTTAGAAATTAGACGATATCACGTTAGGATTTGGAATCTAATATACCGCCATAGTCAAAAGCCTACAAAACGTTCCTGATTGACAATCCAGCACACACAATCAAGTGTTTCAGCTGTGCTGTTTGTTTCGAGGTAATATTATATATTCGCACATGCCTTGTCGCCCCGAAATTCTCGTATTTACTCGTCTGAAACTTTTCGAATGACTGAGAATTCAATTTAGTTTTGGAACTTTCAATCGAGTATCCCGAATATTTTTTAAATAATGGTTTCTTCGAAGTGTTCGATTAAAGGGAAATCACTCTAGTTAGGTGTTTTTCTTAAGGAATCTGAAATTAAATGAAATGAAATGGGGTTTAACGTACTACTGTTCTGCTCCTATACTAGGCTAATGAAGACGGGCATACGCCATACAGTGTGCTATGATGAGGGAAATTTTGCCCGGGCAGCGGCACTATCGCCTACTCTTATATCGAATTCCAACTGACAAAGGAACTTTTACGTGCATTCCAATGTATACACTGGACCTCGGTTTTTCGTCTCATCCGAAGGACTAGACAGCTGTCCTTGTCAGGCCCTCCGTTCTGCACCACTGGCATTTTGGGCGTGTCTGTTTGGGGTAACCCACCGCACAAAGTGTCTGGCAGTGGTCATTCATAATTCCTGTAGTGGTACTGAACAACTTCAAAGCTGTTTTAGGTGGTACAGATTTCAGCTATTCTAGCCTAGCTGTGGTCTGGAAATTAGAAAACTCTTGTCAGGGATACTCCACCACTACATGTCTGGCAATTACATAGCTCTGTCAGGGGTAACCAACCACTACAAATGTCTGTCAGAATGTTTTTGTAACACCTGAAGATGTACGGTACACTGCAGTAAGATTTTCGTGTGGTACACTTTTGAGCTAATCTAGCCTAGTTGGCGGCATGACATTTTGAGCATGGAATACCACCCCCAACCCCAGAAACCCGACAGACTTACATTCTGATGATACCAGATATACATGAATTGATACCATATAGGAGAAATTGGTACACTTTTCAGCTAGGTTCCCCCCCCCCCCCGGGCTCCCGCTCTATTAATAAATTATATGATTTTTAAATGATGGACCAATCATGGGCCTATCATTACAAAGATTAATTTCAATTTCTAGCCAGATGTAATATTTTTAGTAGTTTTACATTCGCCATGAATGTTCGGGATTATCCACTTTGGAGGTAATTTGAAATATCTGGCCGAGCCTGTTGTCGAAAATGAAGCGGCGTCGGTTTAGCTACTGGATTGGTTCGCTGGATATGGTGCTAGTATGTTCTATTGTAACGCAACCGGTGATAATTTGATTGTTGAGCTTTGCAATTTAATATTTTTTACCGTTAAGAGCGGCATCTCTTGTTTAGTAGAATGTATAACCCAAAAGACCGCGCCGTCGGCAAGAATAGAATATCAGCAGTGTTTTTCTTTTGCGTTTGAAAAGTTCCGGAAACCTTTATTGGCGTGGCGCACTCACGATCTTTCGAACTGGATATTTTTTCTAGCTTACTGTAAGGTTTCGTATAAATTCGATAATACAGATCCGTCAATCAACCGAGAGCGACCAATATAGTTGGGTACGAGATCTAAAATCCGTGACCAATATTTCGATTCAGAGACCCTTAAAACATAGGAATAGCCACCTCAGAAGCCAATATTAAATATTTTTATATTTTCTCGCTAAATCTGACCGCCATTTTTAATTTGACACCCTAGCTTTGCGCCCCCACCCCCACTAGTTACGGGCCTGCTTATCATTTATAACACTGCATGACATATATTATGTCCGTCTTCATTTTCCCTCCGGGTACAAAAAAATAGGACGTTACATCATAGATGTTCATGGTTAAAACCCCTGGAACAGCGATGGCTCAGTGAGTGAGATGTTGGCTCACTAACCTGGAAGTCCCGTGTTCGATCCCGGAATTTTCCGGCCTAGTTCCACCTTGTCAGTAGTGCAGGGCGGGGTCCTGGCAAAGAACAGCGTATAGTCGTTCGGATTGTGCGAAAAAACGGGGTCCTGTGTACACATTGGTGTGCATGTAAAAGATCCCTTGGCAGTTGGAATTCGATATAAGAGTGCCACTGTTCGGGAAAAAATTCATTCATAACACACTGACGTTAAACCCCCATTTAATTTTGACGTCTGGTACATACGTGCAGTTTATACATTCGGTGCCCAGAACATCAGGTTGGATTTGTGATGCATTATTTATTACAATAAAATTGAGTTGCATAATGACTGCCGGATACGACTATTTCTCTTTGCCACCTTTTGCTATGACGTAGGGGTAAACATTACAGAGATTCTTATAAACGGAACAAAATCTTTTATTAATCCAATAAATTAAAAGTAATGAGCAAAAAAATATGTTTTTTCAAATCCTATACTGCACTACAATTTACCTGTATTATTCGGCAGTTTTGAAGTCACAGATAAGACATATGAATAATAATATGGCTTTTTTTCTAACATGAATACTAATTAACCCCAGTGCTCCTCTTGACGAATATTAAACTCTTATCTGTCATACAATAAAATATTTTAACATTCCATATATCTAGGTTTCCATGTCGTGAAACATACGCCCACACCAGCTACGTCGTCCAATCAGCCCACAATGTTGTCTCGTTTTTTTTTTCTTTTGTTGGTAATAGAAACATTTACAAGACACTAACAACTGACAAAGTGTAGCAATTCAATTATCTGAAATCTGTAGAATTTGTTTGTTGGCTCCTACTTCTTTCAAATGCTGTTATACAAAACATGTAATATAATAAATTTAGTTGTTCAAATTGATAATCAAAGGGCTTCTTCGTCTCATAACATAAATACTGTATATAAATTTCAAGTCACTCAGACGATAACTTTAATCTCTAGAGCGCCAACAAGATTTTTCCAAAGTGATCAAAAGCCATAACTCTGGCAATAATTATTAGAAATCGTTGAAAATCAATACGCTTCTTTGTCTCATGACCTTAAACATTTGGATAAATCTAAAGTCAATTGGATATTACCTTTAGCCTCTATGATTCCACATGTAAGTGTGAGCAATAGACAGAGGGACCAATGGATGGGGTGACGACAATATACGATCACATTAGGTTTTAATTTTCAACTTTTTTTTCACTCTGGAACAAGTTATTCTGTAAACGGAATGTTTCTGTACGTCATTTGCATTTTGCGGAAAATATCAAAATTTCCACGGCAAAAGGGTACTCAATGATTGTTAAATATTTAATAAAATAAAATATAAAAAAACGCCTAATTAATAATGTATATGAAGCAAACAAAACAAAGACATGTAATATGCAAATTTAGCTTTTACACAATGAATCTTTAACACCGGGTAAATATATAGTAATAAAGTATAATTCAATACCAATTAAAGCAAAATACCCTCCACAATTTAATTATCTTTATCATTCTAATGGATTTTAACTTTAATGGTTTTAATTAGACCTATTATACTAATTGATTTTGAATTAAACCATTAATAAACAAGGATATATTCCTTTGATAGATAAAAGAGGATAATATCTAAATTACAACAAATTAATTCAATAAGAGTTACGTAATAGTCATTAGGCCAAACCAGTTTAATTTTCAGTTATTCGGGAGGTTTTTATAAATAAATAGACATTTGAATCACATGAAATATGTTAGTTTCAAAAGTGCAACCTAGTGCTTTTATATAAAGTAATCATGTGCATAGCGGATTTGTCAATAGGCAATATATAATATATCTAATTATTGTTTTATATCCATTAGAATAATTAGTAGAAAGGATCAAAGACGTTAATCATAAAGTAAATCATCTTCAGTCATTATACCACCGTGAACTTTATTTAGATGATCATAACACAACCCTGATGATGCAAAGCTGGCGGAACATAACCAACAAAATGATATCTTACAAGCTGAGCACACCATATGATTACAGCCATAGTTCTTCTCAATAAGGATCTTACACCCAGGGCAATGTTTGGTAGTGTTACCATACTCCTTTAAATATATCTCAACTTGTAGTTTGTCCATTACATTTGCCTTGTATTGCTGACAAGACAGTCCATCATGGTACTCTACGTGACAGGTTGTGCAAATTCGTATACCACATTCGTAACAAGAAAACACATTACCCTCACTTGTTACCCGGTAAATCATTGGGCAATCAGGTGTCAAACAATGACGGTAAGCATCATGTTTATCATTCATCATGAATCTTGTAACTGCAGATCCCACTAAGGCCTGTGGGTTTACTTGGGCTTTTTTAAAGCTGTTGACAAAGTCATTCCAAACCAATGGCTTTTGACATTCCTCTTCCCCACATAAAATTGGTAGGTCCTTACTCTGAATAGCAACTGTTATTTGTCGCCCAAGACAATCAAAGCAATAAGCGTGGCCACAATATTCTAGTCTGTAGAGTTGGCTAGTGTCTTCTATAGGACACAAACAGGCACAGCATTCTGGGAAATCCTCCTCGACTGTCGAGGTCTGTTTTTGGTTCTTTGTCAGATTCTTACTCATCATCAATATCACCGAAATAGCTTGGTCAATATTTTGTGGATCACCAATCAACTTCACCATCTGTCTTTTGTGATCCAATAAAGCTGACTTCAAGTTGCATTCATCCACCAATTTTTCCAAATTCATACCATATTCCTTTATTAAGTTCTTCATTAGTCCATTAGGCTGACCTGGAGCTCTAAGGTCGATTTCTTTACCCGTGCCCATAAGGATTTCATTTAGATGATTCTGAAATTCAGTTTGAGCTGATGTAAAATTAGCTGCTGTTCCGTAAATGCTGATGGTATATTGCCTTTCGTCGACCTGAATATACGTGGACGTTCTCTCCTGTACATCACGAATAAATTTCCTCCCCGATTTTAAGAATAGATGTCGATAATTTTCATTTCGCCAACATTCGATGACTTCTCCTTTAAGTATACCCTCTAGTACAGACTTCACACGTGCCAGGTCGTCTGGTTTTGTAGAGTATAAGTTAATAATTACACGATCGTTATCTAATAGCCTAACATGGTGTTTAAATTCTAAGAAATTCATGGCCTGTATTGTTTCCTCCACCGCTCCTTTCATGAGATCGTAAACATGCCTAGAAACGTTCATATACGAGGATATGTCTGGAGTCATCTCGACAATTTGGCCCCCAATATTCAAAATGCCATTCAGTCTTGTGCACGCCAACTTCCCATGATCAGGTCTGCTGAATTTAACATGGGCTTTGTAAATGGTATCTCCATCTTTTCTTGGCTTCATAATATCGACCGTAAATTCTTTGGAACCGATGACTTGTACTATTCTATTTTCTATTTCTGCTCTAATAGATTCCAAAATGTGTGGAGTAGACGTGAACGCTTTTTCTCTGACAACCGTTACTCTATGTACATTTTGTCTATCTTCTTCTGTAATGTAACCCATGGCTTCATACACACTGTTACGAACATCAGTCTCCGTAGCAGTAAGTGGTATCTTACGCACACACAAACTAGTAGCAGATTTGGCATCTAAGCTTACCGAGGCTAGTTCACCCAGAACATTGATCCTTCCTAAACTAACTGCTTGAGCAAGGCATAACAGTTCAACATCTACAAAGGCCATTCCTTTTGAAGGACGTCTTGACCAAATTAATCTGGTCTTAAACAAACCATCAGGGTTTTCTGATAACTTAAATTCTGGGATAGCTACTTCATCGAAATCAGTTTTAGTTCCTTCCACTGCAGCAATAGCAGCAATTCCAGATGTGAAGGTAACCCTTCCCCATCTTTGATTCGAGCGTTTCTCTTCCCAACAATCGGCTATATCTCCGAATTTTGAAAATTTCTCAATAATTCTTTCTTTTGATGTCGTTTTAGAATTTGGCTTAGTAATAAACACTGTTCGGTATTCGTTTTGCATAAGTATTAATTTTCCCTCACCACCTGAACCTAACACTATCCTAACGCCTCCGGATCTACTTTCTTTCGTCCCCAATCTGTATTCTGTGGAACGGCTCACCATGGCATTCCTTGCTTCATTTACCCACTGTGCCAAGGCTGCTTTGGCATCCAACGTAAACTTGGAAGAAAATACCCTAATCTCGCCACGATCTCGGTCGGCTTCTAGCATAACAATGGATGAACATTTCTCTGTTAAAATCGATTCATACTTTCGTAATTTGGTATATCTCGGTCCTACAAAGAAAGAGAATGAAGTTGGTCCGAAACACTCTGTATGGATGTTAGAAATTTTCTTCTTTTTTGCTTCATCAATATCGAAGAGTTTATTCTCCTTCGCTATTTCTAAAATCCACTCCTCTTTCACTGGAGTTACTGTGGTAATAAAATATTTGGATGTTTGAAGAATATTGGTGTAAACGACCCATTCACTAGTATTATTCAGGGTCTTCAGAACTGAAGAAGGATGGAGATAAACTTGTTGGTTAAGTGTAGGGACAAAATATCCAGCGTTTTTGTGGCCGATATAGTGACTTATGTTATTTCTGAAGGACAAAGTAATTATTTTCTGAAGAATCTCTAGAGCTTCTTCATCATTTGAAAATTCTCGTTTGACTTCAATGTTAAGCTCTTTCTTTAGGACTGACATTATTTCTGTTATGGTTTCTCTTGCTCCTCGAATTGCTTTGTTATTGATTCCATTATCGAAGCACCATTTACTTTTCTTGTTTTCTGGTTGATTTATCCATTCCTTGTACACGTTCAAAAACGTGAGACAGTCACCCCTGGAATCACAGAATTTGGTTTTCAGTAGATCCAAATTATCTTTATCTGCGTCAGATCCTCCTCGATAAAAGATGTAACTTCCAGAACTTATCAGTGTGGTTAGGACCAAAGCATCATAAATTAGTCCATTATCAAAACCTAACTTCACAATAGTGCCTAATTGTGGTTCAAATGGAATTTTAGCCAGCCATTTCCCTTGCTCTGTAATTTTATATTCATCCATAGCTTTGAGTTCCTCCAAATTTCGTAAAGCAGACGCCATGGCTTCCGGATTTGGTGACTCCACAAAGTCACATTCGTTCGGATTAACATTAAGTTCCAATAACTTCAACAAAACCTGACCAAGATGAACTCGTAATATTTCTGGTATGTTTGATGATTTCATATCCTGATAACTCTTCTGGCTATAAAGTCGGTAGCATGTTCCTGCGGCTGTTCTACCTGCACGGCCTTTTCTTTGTTCAGCTGAACTTTTGCTAATGGTTTCCACGCTCAATGTGTTAATGCCCCTTTTGGCGTCAAAGTTCATCTCCTTAGCCAAGCCTGTATCAATCACAAATTTCACACCAGGAATGGTTATAGAAGTTTCAGCCGTATTTGTAGCGAAGACGATCTTTCTTATTCCTTTTGCAAGACTTTTGAAGACAGCTTGTTGTTCGTCTGCATGGAGTTGTCCATGTAAAGGCAAACATATGTAATCATTTGTGAGTCCCAGAATTTTCTCCAGTGATTCTTTGCATTTTTCCGTTTCTAATGGAGTTGTCATAAAAATCAAAATATCTCCTTCGTGTTTTTCTTTGTGAATCTTTGCAGCTAATTTAACAGCCCCATCCATGTAACTATCTAACTTAGCATGTTCTTCATCTGACAACCAAACTTCTTCCACAGGGAAAGTTCGTCCAGCTATCTGCATCGATTGGGATCCTTTAAAATAATCTGAAAAGACTTTAATATCTATGGTGGCTGAGGATATAATCACTCTGAGGTCATTTCTCTGTGGAAGGCATTTCTTTACAATCCCAAGCAACAGATCGGTATAGATACTTCTTTCATGGGCTTCATCAATAATAACACATGAATATTTCTTCAACAAAGGATCTTTAAGACACTCATTGAGCAAGGAATGGTCAGTCATAAAAACTATCTTCGTTTTATCAGAGGTTTTGTATTTCATTCCAGTTTTATACCCAACACCTTGACCAAGAGGGATTAACAGTTCTTCTGCAACTCTGCTTGCTAGGCTTATGCAAGCTACTTTTCGTGGCTGAGTACACACAATGATCTTATCGCTGCTTAAATTTTCATAAAGATACTGGACCATCTGTGTGCTTTTTCCAGACCCAGTCTCTCCACGAATAATTGTGACTTGGTTGTTTTTTACACATTCCACAATGTCAGCTCGTCTGGCATATATAGGTAAAGCTGAATCTAATCTACGACTTTCTATTCCAAAAGATTTACTATGATTGGTTAAAATCGTGTCGAAGTCATCACTCATGACAGATTCGGATAGCTTGGTTTTGACTCTCGTCAAAAAACTGCAAAATTCTGTTTCTTGTGATCTGAGTTCAGTAAGTTTTGATTCGAGGGCTGACTTTTCTTCCATTCTCCTCTGGTATTCTGCAACTGATATATTTTGTTTAATAACAACCTGGCTAATATCTTCTAGTGCTGCTTGGATTTTGACACTATGATCCTTAAGTTTGTAATCTGAACGGGTTTGTATATCTGCCAATAATTTCGATAAGCGGACCTCTTTTGTATCGGATGCATCACTACTTGGGGTCATAGAGCAAGAAATTTGTGTTGGGCTGTCCACATTGCTGTCTCCAATACTGTTCATAGCACTCAATGCCATTGCCTCACTAGGAAATTGGATAATGACTTCTGTTTTGGTGCCTTTATCGTCAATCTTTGAAGCTATTAATTTGAATGGGTAAACAGAACCACATCCCATTCTTGTCTTCAAGAATCCTTCCATATCTTCAAATTTAACTGTATCATACAGTGTTACATAGACATTTGTTTCACGTTGTTTTACCTGCTTGGCCTCGCTATCACCTGCTCGCTTTTTCTTCTTCGCCTTGCGCGTTTCCTGTTGTGGTTGCACTTGTTTTTCTTCTGGGATCTTTTTAGACTCAGTGTCAACTGACTTTAGCTCTGATAAATAGTCTGGCAAATTTTGTCTCATAAAACAGAGTATTTCAATATCAGAGGAGGCGTTCGTTTTGCGAAACAGTTTAATCACTTTAGTCGAGGCCGATTTAGATGGGAAACTTACTAGAAGAATTCTATCATTACCTACGGTTTTGAATGATTCAATCATATAGTCTAGGCTTTTTAATTTTTCAGTTCTTTTACTAAGACAACTGGTGTAGTCAAACGAGTCATCATTTTTGTTTTTGAAAACCATGAAAAGTAATGTTGGATTTTTCCCCGTCTTTGGATGTTTATCCACCATCTGGTTTGAGGATTTGGAGATGTTATCAGCCCCATCCTGTTTATTTTGACCCCTTCTCCCCCTTCTTCTACCACTATTGCTCGATATCCCTTCTCCACGCCCTCTCATATTACTCCCTTCTCTTCCTCTACCCCCTCCTCTGATGTCACTCCTGGACCCTGTCATGTTGCTTGGCATACTACTCATTCCTGTACTGGCCTTGGTTTCCAGTAAATTTTGTCTCGAGCCTCTCATATCACTCGGCATACTCTGGCTACTTGATGTGCTTGAAGGTCTACTTCTACCGTATTTACCAGAGTTCTGTAAAATTACAAATATTGATCTCAGTATTAAAACATAATTGCTGAAGTGCCATAAATCGCAGGGGGGTGGATGGCCTAATGGTTAGCGTGTGCGCGCTGCATCATAAGGTTTGTCATTGAGTCAACTGGAGTGGTTGTACGTGACAAGGAGTAGGGTCGCTTGTCCAACCGTGTGGGTTTTCTCCGGGTCCTCCAGTTTCCTCCCACTGCTAAAGACCCCTACGCACAAGCAAATTATTGAAATAAAATTGAACATGTTAGTCCTGAAATGACCTAGTTTGTGTCGATACAAGTAGGCGAAAATATTACCAAATTTGGTTGAAATCCAGCAAGCAGTTGAAGAAGTATAAAACAACCAGATTTGATGGCCTTCTTCGCCACGTTAGTGCGAATAATGCACCAGATTCTACAACTATTATCAGAAACTCCTGTATTTTAATAAACGTTTCTATATTACTAACATAAACAAGATATACAAGATAAGCCAATGTTGGATGTTAATGTCAGGATGGATCCAGAAAATTTGGCATAAGGAGTAAAAAAGTATTTGAAAATTACAAATAAAGAACATTAAATAAAGAATATTTGACAACTTGTATCTATAAATCACACATTTTGAAAGTCAAAAGTGGGTCATTCCGTGTCAAATCACATAAATGGATAAACTGTACCCCCTTAGATGATATCGTCCAGTAAATTCTGGTAAGTTTAGTCAAAATTTGTTATGACCTCAAATATCAAGATAGGTTGCCAGGCAACGAAACATATGCCCAGAGCAGCTAAGTCACCCAACAGTCAACAAGGCTTGTCGCATATTTTTTTCTTTTGTCAGTAAGAAGAATGTTTAGGCTACAACACATTAAATCTTATTACAAGTAATAACCCATTAAAGATACATTATGGGAGATTCGATAACGAGTTGGCAGTTCTCACTATAATAGTTAAAAACTAGATAACGTAAAGGCAATTTGCTGAAAATTTCATTCAAATTGATCCACTATGAACCGAGAACTATGCGAATGACATTTCTGCCTAGCCTCGGTCATCATTACTAAAGTCAGTACGATAAACAGCATAGTCTCGATTATCCATTTAATCGTTTAATCGAGAAGGAAAGTTATGCAGTAAATCCGCTCACAATCCACTTAAGATCGCAGGCTAGCGATGCCATCTAGAGTTGATTATGGTCTAGATAAGTTAATTAATGTCTAATTAACTCTAATTAATAATTTAGATAATATTTTAGGCCTATAGAAAGTCCTGCAATGGACAGATTTAGCTCTTGCATAATGTATGTTTAAGTAATTATCAGAAATCATTAGAGTTTGTTTCAATTGTTTCTTGACTTTGAACAAATTATATTAACTTTAGCCTCTAGAGCATCCATAGAATCAAGGGCCATAACTCTGACAGTTATTATTGGAAATTGTTGAAAATGACTAGAATCGTTCGTCTCATAACTTTAGCCTCTAGGGCATCCACAAGATGTTTCAAAGAGATTGAGACCATAACTATGGCAGTAATTATTGGAAATTGTTGAAAATGACTAGGATCTTTTGTCTCATGACCTTAAACACTGTGTATAAATTTAACTATGTATAAACTTTTCCCTCTGAGCATCTACAAGATATTTCAAAGTGATTAGGACCAATAGACTTCTTTGTCACATAACCTTAAACACTGTGTATAAATTTTCTAGCCTCAGATATTAACTTTAGCCTCTATAGCGTCCACAACATTTTCCAAAGTGATCAAGGGCCATATGCACGAATATCGAATGGAACCAAGATCTTTGGGTTATAAACATGCATTTCAAGTTTCATCAAAATCAGATGAAAATTGTGACCACTAGAATGTCCACAAGCTAAAAACGTGATTTTTTGTACAATCAGGGGCCATAATCCATGAAGTTATGGTCCGATACCTGCCAATATCGAAAGAAACCAAGATCTTTGGGAGTTAGACCTATATTTCAAGTTTCATCAAAATCGGATAAAAATTGTGACCTGTAGAGTGTCCACAAACAAATTGTGGACGGACGGACAGGGGTGACGACAATATACGTCCACATGAAAATGTGGCCGTATAAAAATGTGATAAAAGTACAATTAAATAGAATAACAATTATTTTTTTCAATGTTTAGCAGTTTCATTTATCACTGATACTATAAATGGACATTTCAAATACTGTGCCATTTTCAGATTCACTTTAGATTAAAATTTTCTAATCACACCTTTAAAAGTTATAATAATTTTAGTAAAAAAAGTGCTGCAATAAACAGTTTTTCTGCTTTAAACAGTGTATTTTTATTTGTAGCATAGAATCCATTAAGTGTTAATTGAACTGTGCTGTCAAAAAATATTACCCAACTGGTCATGTGTATGTAGTGTAAAGAATGGATATTGACGTCACATAAATCAACACGGATATGACTATAATCGAAAAATCAAAAAGTAGACGCTTTCAGGCCCTACAGCTAGCCCGACCCCCGACCTGATCCATTCACTTGATTTGATATATGTGTTCGTGGTTTGAAATGCCTGTGTATATTGTGTGTTTATTTGTGTAATTGTTTATGTGTGGCATGGTCATCCTGCACTAACAATTAGAGCGTGTGACAGATAAACGTTATTATGTATCAAAAAATTTCAATCAGATCAGTATGAAATTGGTATAAAGTGTAGACTATTTAATCACACAGGTTTCAAGTACATGCTACTTTTATATGTTCATTTTATGTACCTTTAACTAAAGTGACATACCTGACTTTTGTATCTGGAAGAGCTATCGTAATTACTTGATAATGGTTGATTAGATGGTATGCTGAAGCTTGGCATGGATGATCCCGGATTTCCAATGGTACCCATTAGCGGAGGAGGGGGGACCATGAATTGTTGAGCATGGACCATCTGTGGGATGGAATTAGCAGGAAAATAATTTCCTGGTGTTGGTAGTAATCCACCTGGCAGTCCTGGTGGATACCTACTAGACGGAGCTAGATAACTCAGCTGGGGTCCAGGTGTAATTTCTGGTGGTGGTACTGAAATGTAACTCCTTCTTTCTTGATATTGTTCATTGTTAGCTGTATTTTTCTTTTCCGGGTTCATATACACATTAACAATTGTTGATTCTCGTTTATCTTCTTCTGCACAACGTTCTGGACTGTAGCGTCGCCCTTTCTGACTATATGGACTATGACATCGAGCATCCCGACGATCTGGACTATAGTGCCTACTATCCCGATACTCAGACCTGTAATGCCTACCATCTCGACGATCTGGATTGTAATGTCCACCATTTCGATGATCTGGACTGTAATGTCTACCACCCCGGTGTTCTGAACTGTAATGTCTACTATCCCGACGCTCTGGACTGTAATGTCTACTATCCCGACGCTCTGGACTGTAATGTCTACCATCCCGGTGCATGGGACTGTGATGTCTACCATCCCGATACTCAGGTGTGTATCGACTCTGCTCATCATGACTTCTCTCAGGACTGTATCGAACTCTATCATCACGTCTTCTATCGGGACTGAATCGTCTCCTTTCTCTACCATCATGACGTTCAGGGCTGTATAATCGTCTTTCATTTCTATTATAACCTCTGTTGTCATGTTTGTAATCTTCAGTATCTCTGCCATGAGCACTAGGTCGTGTACCTCTTCTTGAATCTTCAAATCTTTCTCTACTGATCGATCTTTGGCTGTCATGTCGGTCATCTCTTCTCCGATCTTGATAACTAGGTTGCTTGTCTCTAGTATTTAATTCCTTATAATCTTGGCTGACATGTGTTTCACTTCTATTGCCATGATGATAACCTCTATTGTCATGAGCCTGGCCCCTTCTTGGTGCTTGACCTCTGTTACTTTTAGCATTACCTCTACTTTCTGTATTTGTCTGTTTTTTGGACGAATCTGAACGATTTTGATCTCTTTGGTGGAATGAAGGGTTTTGCCTTCCCCCTCGACCCCCTTGGCCTCGTCCCCCTCTTCCACCCCTGTTGCTCATTCCTAGCAGTTGATAAACAATGACATCATTTTGGTGATTGTATCTGAAAGTTAAATAAAAGTACACATAAAGTTTCTTAGGGAGAGACCCCACCCCCTCTTCAGGTTGCTCAGTGTTATAGCCACTGTCTCTAAGGTTCACAAAAATTTAATAAAAAAATCAATAAGAATCAAAATAAAACAAGAAATGAAATATATGTATATTAATATCTAGATTCTAAAACAACACAACACAACCCACAGCCAGCTTTTTTGTGTTGGTGACATAAAGAAATATGTTACAGTTTTGCTTCCGGGTCACAATAAATATATGACACTAAATACATTGACATTTATCTTGTTGTAAACCATCAAATTATAAAGAACGGTGGTTGCCAGGCAAGATACGCCCACATTTTGCAAGAGAGAGTAAGCTAAAAAAACAAGCCAACAGTGAGGCTGATGTCCCCACCCGAAATCCCAATAAATAGATGACACATATTAATTAATCGCACATTTATTTTTTTCAAAAGTATCGAGCAATCAAACTACACACTAAGTTTCGTCACTCTCTATCAGATAGAATCAAGATTATCTTGTCTCAAAGCATCGACCAATGAAATTGATTAGCTCTGTTTAGCTTTAGCTTGAAATGTTAATCATTGAAATCAGTGAAGACATTCACCTAATGAACATCAGACTTAAAAATTCTACCTCAAGTAAAAGCAGAGTTTTAATGTTCCAACGTCTTGACCAATCAAATTGCTCATCGCTGCTTAGACCAGGCAGAAAATTCGCACAAAGGTAATGATATAATGAATTTATCGCTCTCACTTCATTATAACCCAAGTTATCGTGCCCCTAAAGCATCAACCAATCAAATTGCTCATCTCTGCCTACCGTAAGCAGACAATGTTCATCATCGAACTCCATCAAGGGATTCACCTAATGAATGCCTACACCAAGTTTAAACACTCTATCTCAATAAGAAGGAGAGTTATTGTGTTCCAAAGTCTCGACCAATCAAATTGCTTATCGATCTGCTTACCCTCAGCAGAAAATGTTCATTATCGAACTTAGTCAAGGTATTGATGTAATAAAGCTATACACCAAGTGTCCTCACTCTCACCTAATTAGAACTAAAGTTATTGTGTCCCAAAGCATCAACCAATCAAATTGCTTATCTCTGCTTTCCCTAAGCAGAAAATGCTCATCTTCAAACTCCATCAAGGCATTGATCCAATAAACACCTACACCAAGTTTGAACATTCTAGCTCAATTAGAAGGAGAGTTATTGTGTTCCAAAATTTTGGCCAATCAAATTGCTTATCGCTCTGCTTACCCTGAGCATAAAATGCTCATTAGCGAACTTAGTCAAGGTATTGATGTAATGAAAATATACACCAAGTTTCATCACTCTCACTTAATTAGAACTAAAGTTATCGTGTCACAAAGCATCAACCAATCAAATTGCTTATCTCTGCTTACCCTTAGCGGAAAATGCTTATCTTTGAACTCCATCAAAGTATTGGCCTAATAAACACCTACACCAAGTTTGAACATTCTAGCACAATTAGAAAGAGAGTTATTGTGTCCAAAAAAGTGGGACGGACAGACAGACTATCAAAAGGGGCTGAGATCTTTGGGATAAAAGATATATTTTAAATTTCCAAGATTTTTTGGATATAAACATATATTTTAGTGAGAAAATAAGACCTTGCTTACCTCACTAGAGTCAGTATGTGCAACACAACATGCTGTTAAAAACCCGTCCCCTTCTGCTAAACATTAAGGTCTAGATGTGGGTTGGCGTACGGATTTACGTGGCTAGGCCATATAAGACGAAACAAAATTTAGGTAAGCTGGGGTGGGGAAAAATTAGAATCGTTCAAAAGCTGAGGAGCTTCAGTCAATTATTGCTTTGCCTAGCCCAATTACAATCAAATTTTTTAAAAACTTCGAATTTCATTTTGTCTTATATGGCGTCAGCCAGCACATATTTTTAACAGCATGTTGTGAACATACTGCTGATCCAACTTAGGCGAAGGAAAGAAGCCGGTATTAGATCAAATGGACCAAACATTTTTATCCGAGTTGTGTGAAGGTCCAACTTAGGAAATCCGACTTACATGCAGAAATTTAATAAGAAAAACGTGCAGGATCAAAGGGTCCAAACAATTTCATCCGAGTTGAGCAACAAAACTTAATAAATTAGATGACTTTTGCAAAGACTGGTGTCTTTCAGTAAAACAAGTTTGCATATATATTTAATCATATACTATTAAACCCATAATATTGTATGGCAGTGAAATATGGGGAGCTTTTAATACACTTAGCAGGGGCGAGCCCAGGAATTTTTGCAGGAGGGGGTTTGCCAGGTTCCTGAGACAATGTATCTCCCCCCCCCCCTCCCGCATGGTCTCTATCGGTTTTTTTGGCGTATATACATACACATTCAGCTTTTTAAACAGAGAAATTCAACACCTCGTTTGACGTCAATTTTTAATATGAATTAATACAATGACATTGTGATTCAATTTCATGGATGCAAAGCATTAATTGTGATATCACATAATGTCTATATCATTATCTCGCCATCCTGTCCCACATCTGACGATAAAGCTGAGAAACTTTTCTCATAAAAATTGTTGATTTACAAACAAAACAAAAATATGTAACTGAGTACGGGGGGGGGGGGGGGTCGACCCCCCAAACCCCCCCTCTGGATCCGCCCCTGCTTAGTCCTAAATTCAAAGAAGATTTCTCTTTAGAAAAGATATATATAGAACCTGATAAGCTTCATGTTAAATTTTGTAAATTTCTTTAACGGGTACACAAAAAGAGTTTAAATTTTCCAGTTCTGGCCAAATTAGGTCGATCCCTAATGTATTTAGAAATAGTTAAGTCTCTCCTGTGTTTTTAGCATTACCTTGAGAGCTCATCTACAGATTCATTATTAGCTCATGCTCTCGCAACTAGTAAAGAACTTTCCAAAGTTGGACAGTCATGGTTTAGCACTGTCACTGAGTTATGTCAACTCTTGAACATGCCCTTAATAAACACTTCATGTTATAAATTTTCAACATTTAAGACCACTTTGAAAAAGTTGCTGGTCAAATGTCATAAAGAAACTTGGCTTAAAGTAGCTAAGTCTCTAACTCAATATCAGCCAAAGTCTTACATGTTTAAAACGCAAATTATTTGTCAATTCAAATCAACATTGATGTTGTGATCTTACCGGCAAAAGGCAGGCTTCTGATATCCAATATTTAAGACAAATAAACATTTTACCATTGGTACACGAATCGTGTACCATAGTGCGTTTCAACATCATTTGTATTAACAAGTCACCAGAAAGAACAAGGCTAGACATATTCCACAACTCCTGTGAAACTGTGACGCCATATCTTATCTGGAGAGCATGCGCAACAGACTGGAATAACCAGACGCTAGAAATTGACATTCAGTTGAGACTCATGTCATATTTTGCTGGACATAACTGATTTGAAATTATAGTCAAAACAGAAACAATTGAATGTCAGTCAGTTTATATACAATCAGATTACATTATTATATGTGACCCCCCATGGCATACTGAGTCGCAATGAGGAAATTTTGAAAATTGCGTTATTGTTATTTTCACATTCTCCGACTCATTACCTTCAATTTGATGTATAGTTTGTTTGAATCGGGCGAAAATTGACTGAGTTGTGACTGCTTAAAGCCACCCAACTCACCAAAGTAAGTTTTGAGAAAAATCAAGTTAAAGATTTGGTATGTTTCAAAACAAAATCACATAGCAACCAAGCCATTTATTTGCTGTTTTGTCGTTGAATATTGTTTTCTAGAGGTTTTCAGGGGTGGTGAAATTGTAGTAACAATTTGATCCGACAATTTCCGCCATCTTTTTTTTTCAAAATGGACGCCAAAATGACAAATTTTCGAGTTTTCATAAGTTATGTGTTTATTAATGTCATTGAATGGGTTTTTGGTGGTGCTACATCAAACAATTGCAGTATAAGAGTAAATCCGATTATACCCGCCATTTTGTTTTTCATAATGGCGACCAAAATGATAATCGTAGTAGTAAAATTAATCCGTCAATATCAACCATTTTGTTTTATCAAAATGGCGACCAAAATGACAATTCTGTTTTGTTTTTTTATCACCGTATATTTGTATCCATGTCATTTTATATGTTTTATTAGGCATAAAGGTTGTAGCATCAGGGGTCGACTGGACTGTATCCTCCATCTTGTTTTTCAAAATGGCCACCAAAATGGCAATTATTGAAGTTCTTATACTTGATACTCGTGTAATATATCATTTTAGAGGTTTTCGGGGGTGCTGAATACGAAAAACATGGTGTTGGGTCGATGCAACGAATATTTATCATTTTACATATTCGATGATTTTATTGTCACCCATCAGTTATGGTCACACCTTGCAGGCTAGGGTATACCAATGAAACGACGGTATTCAACACCTTATGCTATCAAGTATAAGAAAAGAGAACAGTTTTCAAAAGACAACAGTATGCTAAAAACTCTCATAAATTTAATAAAATAATTATAATAACAAATTGTATTATAATGCATCACAAATTACTAGTATTTTTTTAAATAAAATATATTAACAAATGGAATAATAATAGCACTCGAAATAGGATGATTTGTAAAAGAAAAGTAACTCAAGCACTGGAAATGTGGCCCTTAGATGAGCCAGTTCATTTTGCTACGATACGGTGGGGTGCGGCGGAATCATTTAGCTATTGGGTGTTTTATATGATTAATAATTTAATGTTCCGCTGGTGGTGGAACAATATCACTGTTCGTGGTTTGACCGCGATTGCCGAGTTCTAATTAAAAGAGTTGGTACTAGGCCTTATGATCAAAGATACATTATTAACATGGTTTGACTATACACCTTAATTGAAACTAGTTCCATTGTATATACTATGGAGTTTTCGTATGGCACGG